GTATATGCCGTTCTAATCCATCGATTTAGTTTACCAATGACAGTAACGAAATAAACCAACAAAACCATCATTTTTTATCAAAAGTATTAGACCATGTCCATCGGGGTTCTTCAAGAGTTCATAGTTCGGGGTTCTTCAAGAGTTCATAGTTCATGATACAGGTTTTAAGACGAAATCTAATAAAATAATAATAAGAAAGGTAGAGATTCATGGTCCAGGTTCTTCCCGACGAATCTGAAGAGATGATATTATCACATATGGAACATTGTAATTGGTCAAAAAAAATAATTTTCGAATTTAAAAAAATTAAAAAAAATAAAAAAAGTATTATTATATTCGGATAAACTCCTTCCTTAAAAATTCACTGATGAACATGCTCTTAGTCGTTGTCTATAGATTCTCTAAACTATACACATATAACGAAATAATGCAGAATTTTAGTAAGGCACTGTCACTAAACGAAACTGACTTTAACGAAAAATAAAAAAACTATATCAAAAACCTAATATATAACGAAATCTTTTGTAGAGTTTTTAAATTAGGTTATGATTTGAATTGTTTGTAGTTATATAATTATGAGCCAAAACTTACTTACAGTATATTGTTCTATGATATGATTTTATTTTTGAAAATTATAATTTAAAATATGTTTAAATATATTGAGGTTAACCAGTTCAATTGACTCACAAAGTTTATGGATTTTGATGGTTCTTTATCCGGGTTGATAGTTTTTTATAGAAATCTAACCAGGTCGCTAATCCAGTCAGACCCGTTTTATAAACACTGCTTCTAAATAACTAAACAACGCTGCGTTTCGATACACCATATTCCAAGTCGTTTTAGTATATACAGAAAAATGCTTAATCTACTTTGGGATCATGTTTAGTAAGAATTAAGATCTATCGACGATGAAGAGTATAAGGGGCTAAGAAACGCAAAACGTAGAGGATGTTAAATTACGGGCCAGGCCCATACGAAGTCCATTTGATATGTGAATGAAATGATATTAAGGGAATTCCATTTGAAATGTGAGTTGACAATAGTATAGTAGTTAAGTTCGGAGGAGAAAATGTTTCTCATTATCCTCTTTCTCTTTATATCATGGTTACTTCTTCTTGCCTAAGTTACAAGGAATTGATTTCAGTGGTTTTCACTGCTGCCTGCTGGTTTACTCCTTTGTTGGATATTTATAATTATCCCTAATTCTGAATATAAATGCCCAATTGTGTAATTAGACGGTCAAGAATATTAATTATACCATACCGAAGATAGCGTTGCATAGCAAATGCATCACTCAGTTACCTTCAAATAAGGTTAAGAAATAGCCAAATGAACACAATACTAGCTCTTTGCACACAGACACACACACAAAATAACACAATGCTAGTTCTAGCAGGAGAAAAAGAACTTAGACATGTACATTTTCCTCAACAAAAAAAGGGATGTTCACAATCTGGAAACTCAGTCAGAGGTTCATAAGATTTGGTTTGCAGCAACATACCTCGATGTCCCCCAATCCAGCAACTTCAAAAGCTGAAAAGCCATTCATGCACACACAAAACATACAACAACTTTTCCACAACAATGTTTTTACTATTCAGAAGTTTGATTACAGTTAGTCAAGAGATATGTAGTGCTACTGAGTTATACAGAAAAGAAAGAACATATCGACCTTGTTACTGTAATATCCAGCTGCATAACCACCTGGTAAACACATGAAATCGTGAATGAGTAAAAGAAGCTATTGAATGCACTTAATTATGCTATATACGTAAGCGGTAAGCACATGAGGGTTTACTTGCAAATATATGGCTATTGCGTGGATTTTTTTTTTTTTATATCTATGGACCGAATTGGTTATATCTATAATATTAAAACAGAAGCACATTTAGTACTTGCTTCTAAACACTCCCAAATTTTTTTAAAAAATATTTTGAAAAATAGTTTTAAAATTATCCTAAATTATTGTAATATTATTTTGAAACATATTTTCTTTTTTATATAAAAAAATCCGAAAATTAGATATGAATTTAGATAACTAAAGATTTCCTTAAATATATGTCATATTTAATTTAAAATTCAAACTATTTTTGTAATTAAATTTAATTCTAAAAAATAATATCCATTTAAATTATTTTATACTTCTTTAATTATAGATCAGATTTAATTTAAAATTTGAAAATTTAAATAATTTTTTTAGAAAAACAAATATGATTAAAATAATACCTTATTGTATTTTTTAATCATATTCAATCAGAGTAAAATTTCACATATTAAAAACTACTAAATATTAATATTATATGGTAATTTGATGGGGTGGATTAGTTTTTTTTTTATAATTGCAGTCTTATATTCATAACATGCAAGATATTAAGATAAATATTATTTCAAATTAGTAAATAATTATATTATATAGTAATATGACGGACGGGTTAGAATTATGATTTAGTAACTACAGTTTTTTTGGATTAATAGAATAAGTGAGTTAAAAATATATTTTTATAATAACGATTTTTTTTTCGATTAATAGAATGATCGGATTAGAATTATGTTTTTATGATCATGGTCATAATATAGTAGAAAAAATTAAAAAATAAATTATATTTAAACACAAAAATAAATCTTTGTCATTTATTAAAAAATTATATCTATAAATAAAACATAAATAATATTATAAATTTTAATTAAAAAAATTTTCCGTGCGAATGCACGGAGTAAAATTTAGTATGATCTTAAGATTGTTGTATGCAACTGATAGTATCAAAGTTGTCTGAAAAGGCATTAAAAGTCTCATCGAGCCTTTTAATCGAGCTTAATTGGGCTAAAAGATAAAATCAAATAAAAATCTCAAAAGATTTAATTAGAATCTAAAATCTTATCTGAAAAAAATATCCAAAGTGGTATTCTAATGTTTTCATCCTTTATATTTTTGTTTTGTCGGCAATGTTTCATCCTTAAGCCTACGATGTAAATAACGCTAGATGCCATAATTCCAACGATACGTCGTTAATTTTTCATTTCCAAAATCCCGACAATGGTCTCTGCCACATAAACCATACATTTACCACTACTAATATAATAATATGTCTGTTTTGTAGACAAAAACCAGATTTTAAGATAGTCAAAACGATATCAACTTTACCAATTCGGTAGTTAAAACTATATTAATTCGATCCATTTCATTCATTTGGATCGAACTATATCAAAGTCGAAATATAAATCGAATAAATTTGATTCATTTGGATAAACATTTCGTTTTGGTTTGAGCTCTACCCCTATCTGAAAAGAAAACTATTTATTAAGTATAAAAATAAAAGATTGTGTATTTAATTTTTCAGAAAAAAAGGTAAGTGATGGCTAGCTCAATGAAAATTGCACGGCCGGCGTCTGTATTCACTTGCTACGTGTCATGAAAACTACCACATGGGGCAAAGTCCAAAACCACTACTAACTTCAAAAACAAAACTAACTAAAAATAAATAAATAAAGAGATTGGTTAATGTGATTTATTTATTTTTATAAAATTTATCTTCAGATTGGGATAGACCTCAGATCAAGTTGGTACATTTCCACGTAATTGACATTTTACACGTGATCTGCTTGTGACTACCGTTCTATTTTTGTTTTTCCTTTTTCTTTTCTTGGTTGTCACCGTAGTTGTACCGTTTAAAAACGTGATATATAGTACTTTTATTTTCATTTTATTTTTAAGACCGTGATAGCTAGGCATAATTAATTGTTTGTTCAACTATTTGTGAACACCTAATTCTTAATTACTTGGTTCACAAAGGTTTTTCAGTTTTCCTCCCACTAGTTCGCAACATTTATATGTAAGTAAAATATTATATATATAGGGATATGTATATATATATATATATATGTGGCATTTGAATAACAAGATTTTTGAATGCAATGACGTAATATTTCGAAATAAAGATGTTATACTTGAAGACTTGAAGTAACAATTCTGCTATTTATACTATATACTATATCACTAAGTCACAAACTAGGTATACAATCATATATTTTACGAAGTCAATCTGCAAGCATTAGATGTTTAGCTAATGACAAATGTTAAAAACTACAAAATATGCGAGGCATAATGGTCAAATATAGAATATTGTTATTGGTATTTGGTAACGGGTTTTAGTAGAGCCTAGACATCATTTGGCTGAATGGCATTAAAATATATACATTCTGATTACAACGCTCTGCAGGTTAAAGCCAGGCCGTAAATGTAAATGGATACTGCACCTTTTGTGGTATACGAAGATATGAATATATGATACTTGTGGTATACGAAGAGTCCATAACTAACAACTGATATCTAGTATTGTTCCTTCTTAATTAGATACCTTAGAATTTTGACTGAAATATAAAAAAACTTGATATTATTGATTTTCTTGAATTTTTCAGTTACTATGAATCATCATCATTTCAAGTGAAATATGTGATATCAAATCTGAATTGGTGGATTAAAGTAATATATCAACAAAAAAAACAAATGCGTGCATGTATATTTGATCAGGTGGTTTCCCTTGACGACATGGTATTTCTGATAGCCAATCAAATACACGGCAGAAGTAGAACACAGTATTAGAAAACCTTTAGGTAAAAAGTTAGGCAGCCTAATTTAATATATATATATATATTATTTATTTGAAAAAAAAATACACATGAACAAATACTGTTAATATCGATGATAATTTGTTTTTCAACACGTCCCATAATTAAACTTTAGCGTTTACAATTTCTCTTAATAAATTTTTATATCGCTATATCCCAATCAAAATTCTGGTATTCTCAGAAAGTTAAGAGCATGTCCATTAATAAATCCTTCTTTGGGGTTCACCAACATAAAATAAGATTTCTTTTTTGTATTGAATTTATTGAAGAACCTGTGCTATATTTTGTGTTCCATTGGTGAACCCAAAGAGAGGTTCATCAAAATAATAAAAAAAATTTGTTTACGCAATTGCATATGCATAAATGTTGTCCAAGAACACTGCAATCATCATCGCCACCATCGTTGAAGACAAGAAGATTGTGTTCAAGAAATCATTGAACCAACCAGCATTGGTGTGAGCTGGACCGTGCAAATACACACAATCTCGTATAAAAACAATGTATAGAAGCACAATTAACAACAAGTTTCAAATGGCTAGATAGATACTGCAATAATCTTATCAATCTCAGCTGCAGAATCATAAACTATAGTTGGTCCCCACTCTTTCATGTATTGCAGCCAGCACGGCTCTGAAACCGCTCCTTCCCCTAAATACTCAGCTGCTACAATTCTATACCTTTGACTAAAATTCACCACATACTTGCTTTTCCCAGCATCGTTTCTCACTCCAATTCCTAGCTTCGACGAGCCTTGAAGATACAATCCAGGGTGAAGAAAACTCGCGTGTCCGTGTTTCGACGAGTACGTACCGGTTTGTTGCTTCCTTTGACAAACTCAAGATCCGACGCATCAACCTGTGTTTCGACGAGTACACAACTCTCTGTAAGATCCTCTCTAACACATCTCACTTCTTCAACCTTAGGCTCCTCTGCTTCGTCTGTGACAATCACTCCCACGGCTCTGTAACCAGCTGGAGGAACAGGCAACCAGAAGTAGCAATCTGAATCTGAACTCCAAACTAAAGTGTACTTCACCGGTTCTTTCAATGGAGGGCGATGATCATGATCGGGATCGTTAGCTCGAGCTGCAAGAACAAAGCCTCTCAATGGCTGATTGTTTGGCTGACAGTAATGACCAAGGCAATGAAAACCTTCTTGTATCCGTTTATTGCTTGAAAAATGAGTGTATGTTACCTCTAAAAAAAGAAAACAAGTACGAGTTTGAGAAGCAAGTTTGTATTTTTTTTCAATATATCAAAGTCAAAGGTTCTCAAATAGCATACTTCTCCTTATAAACTCATCAAATAGAACCAAATCTGGGATATCACGAAACAAATCAGAAATTGAAACAAAAAGCAAATTGAGAACACCACCATCAAAACCGCTCACATACTACCACACAGATATTTCGAAAAAGGAATGTTCATAGCCTAGTAGGGAGTTCTAGCAATCAAGTTTAATTAAAATCTCCATCAACAGAAACCCAAAAATTCGAAAGAGGAGGAAACAAATGAAATTGAGAGAGGGAGAAACTGAAGGATCACAAATGGTGGAAGGAGATGATGATGAATCGAATTCGAGAAAAACGATTAAAAATCGTCGGCGAAGAAAACGAGTATAAAGTCGTGTGAGATGAAGAAATGAAAATGTCGAGAAAAAAATTTTTTGTCCGAGAAACACAATACAATATTTGGCCATTTAGAAGCTTACACGTGGTTAAGAGGCGAGTTCATCAAACTAAGAGTCGGTTCATCAAAAATAAGATTCTTTTCATTTATTTTAAATTGTTTTTACCTAAAAATCCGGGCCGAACCCATATAAACTTCTATTTAACATGGTCTAACATTGTCTATATTTTTGAGAAGAAGATTGGTTCTTAAAATACCTCTGTCTTCTCTATAACACTAATCGAACAAAATTTCCGAACCTATCTTCTTTTAGTATTTTAAGACAACACTTAATATGCAGAAGGTTGTTAAGTGTAATTGGCTATTAATTTTGTATAATTATCTAATCGAGTAAGGCAGGCTAATTGAGTTGATGAGGAACTAACCAAGAAATTAAAAATAAGAAAACAAACCACGTGGGATCCATGAGATGTGGACGAGGAAAATCGTCAAACTTTGAGATAATCTTGGATTAGGTGTACACTTAATTTCAGAACCTTCTCTTTCTCAATTTTGTCTCATTAATTTTTATTTTTTATTTTAGCTTTCTATATTTTATTCATTTTCTAAAATTAAAAAAGGAAAAACCCAAAAGAGAGGATTTTGATCAAGTAAAAGAAAGAATTTTTGAAGAGAAGGCAATCGATTCTATTTCTCACCTTTATTATATAAACCCATCTCTCTGTTTCGTATCCCGATACCCACTGGTTTTTCCTTTGTTTCAAGAATTTTCCGATAAAGTTTTGAGTTTTCCGGGAAAGTTGTAGCCGAGAAAAGAAAAAAAAGAAGAGAAACCTCTGTTTGACAAATTGGGTCTTTTCATTTCTCGTCAAGTCTGCATTTTTTCTCCTCTCTTTCGGGTATTTTCTCTCACTTTCTCGCTTTAATTCTCGACAATCAGGCCAGATATCATCGTCGTGTGTGTGACTTTCGAGAAATCAAAATCGCAGAGAACAAAGAAAAAACACAATCATCGATTAACATTGTTTTTCTTGGGGGTTTTCTCGTTTCGGTTTTTCGATCATAGAAACAAACAAACAACCGGAAAATCGGCTCTCTCCACAGAAAATAAAAATAAAACGAAAGACTTTTCTTTCTTCTGCAAGTAACTGAGCAGATTTCGGTTTTTATTATTTTTTTCCTCTCATTTCTTTCTTCAAATTCCTTAAAATAAAATAAAAAAAAATAAAAAATTCTTGTCCATAATTTCCGTTTCCCTTAAATTCAGCTGTCCTAACGTCAAAACTCAGACACTCGCTTGCGTGTCTCCCTCTTACAATCCCCATTCTCTCTCTCTCGTTTCTCTCTGTTTCTGGGGCATTTCAAAGAAGAATCAAGAAACCCAATCTCTCTCTTAGAAAGGAATCATGGTGTTTGGAAAAGGGTCAACGAAAAAATCGAACCTTGACCGGTTCCTCCATTGCACAACACCTGTAGTGCCACCCCAATTTCTCCCCAAGGTTTGAAACGTTCTTCGTTTCTTTCTTCTCTTAATGGTAAATAGTTATCATGTAAACAAACTTTAAAAGGATTTTTGTGTGGCTTGAATTTGCAGACGGAGATTAGGAGTTTGAATCGGATTTGGCATCCATCGGAGAGAGAAAAGGTTGAGTTTTTCAGATTGAGTGATTTGTGGGATTGTTACGATGAATGGAGCGCTTATGGAGCTGGTGTTCCAATTCGTCTCACCAATGGAGAATCCCTTGTTCAATATTACGTTCCTTATCTCTCTGCAATCCAGATTTTCACCTCTCGTTCTTCCTTGATCCGCTTGAGGTACACCATAGAAGAATAGATAGCTTTGAATTTTTCCATCTGATAAATGAACCCTTTTTCTGCTGATGGAATTTCAGATTTGAAAGTTTGATCCTTTTGATCAATCAATTGAATCTTTGAGTACGTGAGATGTTGATTCCATTATGTTTTTGGTGTTGTTGATTAGGGATGAGTCTGACGATGGTGAAAGCGAGACGAGAGATTCGTTTAGTGATTCATATAGTGATGAGAGTGAAAGTGATAAACTCTCAAGAAGTGCTTCTGATGAAGGACTTGACCATGACGCTCTCTTGCATCCGAATGATCGGTTGGGCTATCTTTATCTGCAACACTTTGAGAGATCAGCTCCTTATGCTCGAGTTCCTCTCATGGATAAGGTATTCAATGTAGCTCCTTTTTCTCCATTGACCTTGCTTCAATGTCGCTTGGTTGATTTCTCCTTAGGTTATAATGATCTTATCAATCAAGACTTGACTTGAAATGACATATGGTGATTTTGGTTTCAGATCAATGAATTGGCTCGAAGGTTCCCCGGACTAATGTCGCTGAGAAGCGTAGATCTTTCCCCGGCAAGTTGGATGGCTGTAGCGTGGTACCCTATTTACCATATACCAATGGGAAGGACCATCAAAGATTTATCCACTTGTTTCCTCACGTATCACACTCTTTCATCTTCTTTCCAAGGTACTAATCTTCTCTATCCTCTCACATTCAAGTCCTCTGATGTGTTTTTATCCCACAAAAATGTAACCATTATGGTCTTAATTTAAAGATATGGAGCCAGAAGAAAATGGCGGGGAAAAGGAGAAGACCCGGAAGGAAGGAGAAGGCGTGACTTTGCTTCCTTTCGGGTTAGCCACTTACAAGATGCAAGGCAATGTTTGGCTCTCGGAAGATGATCAAGGTCAAGATCAAGAGCGAGTTGTGTCGCTTCTAAGTGTTGCTGATTCTTGGCTAAAACAGCTAAGAGTCCAACACCATGACTTCAATTATTTCTCAAGAATGGCTCACCGTGGCTAAGCAAATCCATCACTATACGGATGATTTTTCAACTGTAGAGTTTTATATCTCTTTTTTGTTTTTCTTGTTGGTCCCAAGTGAAAAGGAGATTACTTTTTTTTTCCCCTGGTCGCAATAACCGTGTTTTTCCAGTGGTTGGAGCAGCATTGGCAGTGGCGAGGAGGCTTAAACCGCTGGGTGAGCGTTTCCTTAACGCAATTTAAGCGGTTGCTGCGTTTTGGGTGTAGAATAGCTTTTGAGTCCTATTCATGGGAGATATCGTATATTATATATTGCTGATCTGTTGAAAAGAGTGTTTTCTTGTTTGTTGATAACATTTGATCGAGAGGGTCTTGTTCTTGTACCTCAGTAGCATTTTAAAGAAATAGTAAATGTAACGATCTAATCATCTTTGAAGCGCAAATGTATAAGTTGAATTTGAGGAAATATACCTAATCTACTACATATTGACTATTACAAACTATGACTTTTGTTGTTTTACATTGTATAGAATTTCAATTCATCATCTGATGTTGGAAACAAAATATGACAAGTTTTTTTTTTTTTTTGTCATCAAAATATGACAAGTTTTCACATAGATAACTCAACTTAAAAAAAAAAAAAACATTTTATACAAAAAAAAAATCACTTTTTTCTTCACTAACGTTTTAAGTATTAGAATTGTTGTTTTAGATTTTTGATGTAAGTTTACCTATAGAATAATTAATTTAGCTTCAAACTGAAATCAATAACAAAGAGGAGTAAAAAAAATATTCTCTCTGTTTCTAATAATATTTTCTTAAGAGTATTCACACAGTAAGGAAAAAATTAATGTTCACTCATAAATGTATAAAATTTTACACTAAACATTTTTTTATAATATTTAAAATTTAAAATTTCTTACCATTAATTAGCAAAACAGTGCAGAGAAAATTGATAGCATCCATTTTTAAAACATTTATTCCTAAAACATCTATTAATAGAAGTTAGAACAAAAAAAGACAATAGTCAATTAAGTAGATATTATTTGCGTGAAGAACGTCATAACAATATTTATTATACAAAAAATACGTATTGTTGATTTTGAAAATTAATAATGATAACAATCGAAATTTGGGAATACCGAATTAAATGAATTAACAAAAAAGACATGTTAGTATAATATGGAAAAAGTGGGACCTTTCTAGGACAAAAATGTCAAACATGTGATGGAGAAAAATGAAATAATGTGGACCTTATATTGTAAAATTGACTTGATGTTCAGTGTTCAGTGTTTGGTCCCTCCACCGATATTTCTACACGTTCTAACTTTTTTTTGTTTACTTAAATGGAACGAATCATTTCCTAACAATTAGAAAAGGAAACTCATTAAGTGGTCGGCCCATTTCATTTTCCCGTAATAAATAATTGTATTAATTGGACTTTAATGAAATTATTATTGCTTCATTACTTGCAAGTTGCAAACATAAACAATCTAAATGAAGTTGAAAAAAAATGTATTTTGGGGTTTCTTCTCGACCTGAGTTCACGTTGTAGATGTGGTGAAGACTATACTTAAGAGGCATCTATTTCCGAAAATGACCACTATTATTATATTTTTTCTAAGTTAAAATGACCAACATTGCTTAATTTTTTTTCATTTTTTTTTTCACGTCGACCAGTATTACTTTATTTTTCACACTCAATATTTAATTGTTTTCATTAACAATATATATATATATATTCAGTCCGTTAATGGTAAGGACCGCCTTTGAGAAAATGCTCACATGTGCATTGTAGGAGTTATGACACTTTTTTTTTTTTTGGTGGAAATTATTTACATATAGATAGATAGGACTTCTGTTTAAAATCTTGAACATGATCCATGATATTATTTTGAGCTGGTCGTGTTAGTAATTGGCATTGATAGTATAAGACCATCTAAAGAAGAATAAATACTACTCCATCTAGTATCTAACTATGTGTGTGATATCCAGTTACAAACAAAAAGAAAAGAAAAAGGAAAAACAAAACTGTGTGTGGATAAGTGGCATATTAACTGCTATTTGTAGTGTATAGTTTTTAAAACTGACAATCATTAAAAATTCAAGTTGATACGATCCAAGGGAATCTACTCTGAAGAACAAGGCTACAAGTGGCGATATATTGACCAAAATGAAACGATGAGGCGATAAGGTGGTGGTGGTGGCGCGGTGATGACTCGATGGATTTGCGATGGTGGTCTAGTGAGCGAGACAATGAGTGGCGATGGTAGTGAGTGGCTCGGATTGATGATGCGAGATGGTGGCGTGAAGAGATCGGATCCGAAACGATCTGGTAGTGATGGATTCGCGAGAGTATGGTCGATGGATAAGGGATGATGGCGAGAATAGAGGATGGGGAAATCGATTAGATGATAGGTTGAAGATTTTCTTGTAAGAAACACTTGTAAGAAAATCGAATTCAATGAACTTTTTGAATCAAGGAATCAAAGCAAACTTTGCTCTCTCTTTTACGTTAAAAATTCCAAGCTCCCTTACAAAGAGACTAAGTATCAGATACTTATAGTATCGACAAAAGACCTAGAGTACTCGCCCAAATAAACATCAAGGCGTCTAAAAATAAAAACTACAGAGCGTCTGAATTAAAATTAAAACAACGAGGCGTCCCTTCTAAATCCTAAATGGTGCGCCTAGAATAAATACTAGTGCACAAGTCATTGTGACTTTGCACATTATTACCCATTAGTAACAACTTCTAAGTAACTCGATGTAGCAATGATTTCTGCCTCGTTAAAAACCTTGGAGAAGAACCTCCTTGCCTTCCAAAATCTTCACCAAGGAAAAGAGTACAGAATCATCACCTAAGTTACCTAGTCATTGTTACTGGGTTCCTCATTCTTCAAGATAGAGATGTTGAAGATGTGAGCTCCAGCCTCCTGGTGATCGCTGTCCTCTGTGGCAATGAGTGCGTGAGCCTCCTTAGCCATCTCTCTAGCTCTGGAACGAGTGATCCTGCCAGCTACCTCTGGTTCCTCCTCCTCTGAGCTGGTCACGATCATATCATCCTCTCCCTCTTGAAAAGGATTTGTCCTCAAATCTGAATCTGCAACATAAGGAAGCAAGTCAGAAACATTGAAAGCATCAGAAACGTCATACTTACCTTGAAGATCAATCTGATAGGCGTTGTTGTTGATTCTTTTGATGACTGCGAATGGTCCATCCACTCTGGGCATTAGCTTGTTCTTTCGTTCAGCTGGAAATCGCTCCTTCCTCAGATGGATCCACACCAGATCGCCTTCTTCAAAAATCAGCTCCTTTCGTCCTTTGTTGGCATGCTTCTCATACTGCTTTGTCTTTTTCTCGATATTCTCCTTAGCCTTAGCATGAATTCTTCTGACCTGTTCAGCTTTCTCCTTGCCATTCAAACTGCATTTTCCACTTAAAGGCAAAGGGATCAAGTCTAGAGGTGATTGTGGATTAAACTCATATACAATTTCAAAAGGAGAAAAGAGAGTAGCAGAATGCTTAGCGTGATTGTAAGCAAACTCGACATGAGGCAGGCACTCTTCCCATGTCTTGAGGTTACTTTTCACCAAAGTCCTTAGAAGTGTGGACAACGTTCTATTCACCACCTCGGTCTGTCCATCGGTCTGAGGATGACACGTAGTTGAGAATGAGAGCTTTGTTCCCAGCTTAGCCCAAAACGTTCGCCAAAAGTGTCCTAAGAACTTCGTGTCTCGATCTGAAATGATAACCTGTGGCATTCCATGCAGTCGTACTACTTCCCTGAAAAACAAGTTAGCTACATTCACAGCATCATCTGTCTTGTGGCTAGCGATGAAGTGAGCCATCTTGCTAAACCTGTCAACAACTACAAAAATAGAATCTCTACCATTTCTGGTGCGAGGTAAGCCAACTACAAAATCCATAGAGATATTAGTCCAAGGTTGAGAAGGAATAGGCAAAGGAGTATACAAACCGTGAGGCTGAACTTTACTCTTAGCCATCTTACATACGACACATCTAGAGCAGATTTTCTCAACGTCCTTCTTCATGTTCGGCCAGTAGAAGTGCTCTTGTAGCCCAAGAAGTGTCTTTGTGACGCCGAAATGTCCAGCTAATCCACCTCCATGAGCTTCTCGTACCAGTAACTCTCGAATGGATCCTCGTGGTATGCACAATCGGTTACTGAAGAACAAGTATCCATCCTGTCTATAAAATTTCTCACAGGCAAACTTATGACATTTGGCATAGCTCTCAGAAAAGTCAGTGTCAGATTCATAAAGATCTATAATATGCTCAAATCCAATCAACTTTGATGTTAAAGTCGAAATAAGAGTGTACCTCCGGGATAATGCGTCTGCGACCACATTATCTTTACCTTTTTTGTACTTAACAATGTAGGGGAATGTCTCAATGAACTCCATCCATCGCCCATGTCTTTTGTTAAGTTTCTGCTGACCCTTGAGGTGCTTTAGAGACTCGTGATCGGTATGAATGACGAATTCCTTAGGCCATAAGTAATGCTGCCACGTCTGGAGAGCTCGAACCAATGCGTATAACTCCTTGTCATACGTGGGATAATTCAGCGTTGATCCTCCTAACTTTTCGCTGAAGTAAGCGACGGGCTTCTTATCCTGCATAAGAACTGCTCCAATACCTACACCAGAAGCATCGCATTCAATCTCAAAAGTCTTAGTAAAATCAGGAAGTACTAGTAAGGGCGAATTGATAAGCTTCTCTTTAAGGGCTGTAAAAGCCTGTTCTTGCGCCTCTCCCACTTGAACCCCACATCTTTCTTGATTACTTCGGTTAAAGGCGCGGCTATGGTGCTGAAATCACGAACAAAAACGCCTGTAGAATCCTGCTAAGCCATGGAAACTTCGGACTTCTCCAATATTCTTGGGGGTTGGCCACTCCTTGATAGCTTTTATCTTCTCTTCATCTACTTTAACTCCTCCTGCACTTACTACAAAGCCTAAGAAAACAATCTCGTTAGTGCAGAATGAACATTTAGATAAATTAGCAAAGAGAGATTGAGAGCGAAGAACATCAAGAACCGATCTGATGTGATCTAGATGTTCTTCCAAACCTTTACTGTAGATGAGGATATTGTCGAAATAAACCACTACGAACACGCCAATGAATGGTCTCAGGGCATGGTTCATTAGTCTCATGAAGGTGCTGGGAGCATTGGTGAGGCCAAACGGCATAACTAGCCACTCGTAGAGTCCCTGCTTTGTCTTGAATGCTGTTTTCCACTCATCCCCTTCCTTCATTCTGATCTGATGATATCCACTCTTCAAGTCGATCTTAGAGAAGATTGTCGACCCACAGAGCTCATCCAGCATATCATCTAGCCTTGGGATCGGATGCCGATACTTCACAGTGATGTTGTTGATAGCTCGGCAGTCTACACACATCCTCCAGGAACCATCCTTCTTTGGCACCAACAGAACTGGAACCGCACATGGACTCAAGCTTTCTCGGATATGGCCTT